AAAGATTTGGGAGTAGCCACCATGAAGAGCAAAGAGAAAGATGAGGAAACCTGAGGAGGGGTGTGGAGTCAGAAAAGAAGGTGTCTTGAGGCAGAACCCTAAGGAATGAGTACCTCAGTTTCAATTAACTTCAAGTTTTTAATCACAAAAATCTGCAAATCTTTAAAAAATTGAAAGGCTAAAATGAAAACTACTCTGCTGTTATAATGATACATTTCAAAACACGACTGCTTTGCAGATCAGAATTTATAAGAATTGTGATTATTGTAACTATCAAGTCTATCAAAAAGGATCAAAACAAAACTGAAAAACAACATAAGTCAACAACAAGAAACCAGACAGACTTCAAAAATTTTATAGGTAAATCCTGATTTTTTCACGTGAGCAGATGACTGGGACAAAGTAGGTAAAATTAATCAACATCATACATCTATTATAGAAGTAATCCTAAATTCTGTGAAGCCAGGAGGTGCAAGGAGATGAAATACAGTGAGAATTGATTCCACATGATCTAAAAGAGACAATTTTTTTATAGAAAAAAATCATATTTGATGTTTAAGTACTGAGGATACTGGACCAAATTTTATTTCACCTACATGTACCTTAAACTTAGCTCTAAATGCTCTTTTTAGCACTCAAGCCTGATAATTTCTAAAGCCTAACCTCTTTAAGCTTCCAACTTGACAGAGCAGCTTGTAGGCTGTTGTGCATGCATACTTATCCTTGAATGAATACTTCCACTCTGAGACCAATTACGTGAACATGGGATCTAATTAGACCAAGATAGGGAATAAACATGCAGCGGTCACAGAAAAACCACTAATGGTTAACTGAAGACTGAATGTCTTTATTTCCCTTACTAACAATGTACTGATCTGTTTTTCAAGTTCAGATTTACCTAAGGTACACCTGTTATCTATCTGGCACATATGTAGAGTGACCATGTACTTACTAAACCAACAGTAAGAGGAACAGAATGTTGACTTTTGCTCATATTAACTAGACTGGGGAAAAAGGGGGAGAATTTTCTCTGTTTGTTAAAGAAACAGATATTTTTAAAAGATTGAGCTAAAATTTATAGCATACACTTTTGTTAGGCAAAAAGGTCAGATTATTTAAAAATTACACACGTGAGTTAATCAACTATTTTATCATTATTAATCTTCGAGGCAGTAGTTTTAAAATCTGGTTCCACAGATGAAGACTAGGGTAAAGGAACCAATTCCCTGAAACTGTGGAAGAAAATGCTGTGGATGTGTCTATATTTTCATTTTTTCCAGTGAGAGGGTTCATAGTTTTTATGTGGTTCTAAAAGGGGTTGTACACTAATTCTGTGGTAGGCACTCAGGTAATTAGTGAACAAAACCGACCTATTTTTGCCTTTATGGAGGAGGTAGACATTAATCCAATAATTATGGCTGTATTATTATAAACTATATGATTATAAGCTATCGTAAGTGCTATGAAAGGGAATATGGGAAACTATAAAACATTTAAAAGAAATTCTGGGTCTAATCAAGGAGCCCAGAAAAATCTCCTCAAGGACTTCCTTGAACCACATGACACTTGAATTGAGATCTGAGGGACTGGCACCTGGGCAAGAATGAGACTAGAAAGTCAAGATGACTTAGAGGTGTGTGCAAAGGCTCTGGGGCAGAGGGAGCACAGGGGTTCCCAGAAATTGAAGGAGGCCTAGAGTCTCGGAGGCACAAAAAGTTAGGTCAGGGGATAGTTATGTTAAATGATGCTGTAGAGAAAGGCAGAGGCAGACATCCAAGGCTGCCTCAGAGATTTTGGTCTTATTCTAGGAGCAATGGGAAATCACTGAAAGGCCTTTATGCTGGGGACTGACAACATCGGACTTGTGTCTTCAAAAAGATCATGTTTAGGGGCAATTTAGAGAATAGATTAGGAAGGGGGACAGGGAAGTAGGGAGAGCAGAGAGGATGCTATTTCATTAGTTGGAAAGAACATCAAAAGTATCCTGGAGTACAGAGATGGTGGGAGACATGGGGATTCAAGGAATTTGGGGGATAAAATTAACATTTGATTTGATGACAGACTGAATATGTGAAAAGAGAAGGGAGATGTCAAAGACCACCCCTACGTTTCTGCCTAGAGATGAAGTGAGACAACGAAAGCAGTAAAACTAGAAGACCAGGTGATTTTCACAGTGTTGCTATGTTGGGGGTGAGTTTGGTGTTGGGGAGAAAAAGCTTGTCTGAGGAACTATTACACAAAACATTTAGGCATCAGTATCTAAAGAAGATATATTTTGAAATATTCACTTTAAATATTAAACTAATATTAAATCAATATTACTCTATAAAGCTTGAGATATTTTTAAAAGAAGAGTCATTTAAAAACATTTTCTCTGTATTAACTTAAGGCGTAACAGAAGAATTTGTTGAAGAAATTAGTAATGAAAAATAGCTTTGAACATTGTCAGTGGGAAACTGATTTTCACCAACAAAATAAATTAACTATAAAAAAACAGGAGTTTCAAGAAATGAAGAAACAAGAAAATCCCAACACTGCAGTGGTTATTATTCAACTCTACATCTTTACAATACAAGTGCTTTGAAAACAAAATTTCATCTAAAAACTAAATTCAATAGAACATTCTGAAATGATAAATAATGAGCTCTTAATAGACATATTTTGTTGGTAAAACAATTCTTCAAAATCTATCTTTTAAGTCTATTCTATGTCATTTCATTTTTTAAGAAGATATAGTTCTTTATTCTTTGGAAAATGCAATTGGGATATCTAGACCTTTTGATGATCAACTAAATTGATATTTGATTTAAATCAAACATGATAATAATAAATAATTCAATGTAGGACACATATCATAATGCTTAACTGAATTACTTTAAAATATACACTATTAAAGGTATTCTAAAAAATACATTTAAATTCCTAAATCACCCATATTTATTTTCTCTTCTTAAAAAATGACATTTTTTCAAGAGTTTCTGTAGGCCAAAAATCCTCTTATGGAGTTTGGCTTGAATATAAAAGCAGCAACGTTTTTAATATTAATACCTTTTTAAAATAAATATTACCTTTTGGAGAATATCCTACTGGCATAATTATTTCCATTTGATAAAAAAATGTACTTAGTTCTAACACTTATTAAAGGATTTTTGAAAAACCTGTTTTATACCTCAGGATAAACACAATATCCAGTAAAATCCATTAAATTAGAATTATTTTATTCAGAATAGTATGCAATATAAATCTGTAATTTCTTAGCTAACTAATTCTTAGTGTTTGATAAAGATACAAGGGGAAGGGGCATGAACAAAAGAGAAGTTTCGCTGTGCCCTAACGCTACAATTATTGTTATTCTATTAAAATACTAGAATTTTGTCAAGCACTGAAGTGCTATCTCATAATCCACAAACATATAATCTGATAAAGCTTCTAAATGCATGAAAATATTTAGAGTCATACTGCTTTTGTTGCTAACACAGGCTAGAATGAACTCTATATTATTTTGCTGTACTTATATGAAACAACAGAATAAACTACTTCTGGCTATGCTTAACTCTGATAACAACAGGAATGATGAATGATTCCAAAGCATCACTTTTTTAACTTTGTTTTTAATCTTGAGTTAGGCAGAGGCAAGCTGAATAGAAAACACAAGTTTATAATTTATTTTTCATTTCCTCTCGCAAGTCTTAGTATCTGAAATGGTTTGTTCCATCATCAAGTGTGTGAGCCCTATAAAGAAATACAATTTTTTTACAGAAAGGTATTTGGAGTGTGTAATAGGACAATGTCCCCAGTCTCAGAGATGAAATATGATTACAACAAAAATTTTGGAAATTTTCAACCAGAAGGGAAAATGTAGTTGAAGGAACTGAGGTAGTAACCTTAACTTTCATTTCCACTTAATTATCTTAAAATAAGAGGAGATTTTATTAGTGGGAAGCATGTCGATCAGCTAAAGTTAGTAGGAAATGAAACTTTTAATATATGTGTTCTATGTATAGACATTACATAATTTAGAAAACTGTTAATTTGCTGTCATAGCACATGATACAAATCAAATCTGACTTCACATTTAAAAAAAAACTCATTGTTCATTCTAAAGGTCAAAGGACATTCTGAATGTACCAGATTACCTATGCTATTCCAACTCTCATAATAGAGTGCAAAAGCCTTTTGAGCAACCACAGTTTGGTCTTTCAGAAAGAAGTCTGCATTAGCCCCGCCCACAGCACTGGGCTTCTCCAAACATTTCTGTGCAGAGGCCACTGGTGCACAGCATTTTAACAACACTCCATGGTTATCAACAACACACAACCGTGTCCTGCGATAGCCAGCCTCCTCTCCCAAGGATGATCTACAATGCAGGTTTGCGTGTCTGCTCTGAAAACCCCAGATCCAAACGGAACCTTGGGAGAAGCTTCTTGGTTATTTGTTAGAAGCTTAACATGTAATGCGATGGGACTTTATAGGTTTGTCAAAATACTTGAGATTTAGCGTCAGAATATTTCTTTTGCTTCCTAAATGAACACAGTGAATATGTTCAGTGTGGTGGCTTATTTCAATACTACGCCACTGTTTCACAGAACATATACATGTGATTATATATTTTGAATATGCAATTTGTGCTATATCTCTATAATCAGAAGACTTAACCATTTAAAAATAATTTATTGCCAAATGAAAATGTTTATCCTTAAAGATCAACATATATGTGTGTGTGTGTATTTACACGTACATTCATATGTATATTTCTGATTTTCTTCACTTGGCTTTGATACCAATATATGAACATTGTTCAGATAGCATCAATTATTTTCTGTGTGATATTATATCATCAAAACCACAAAATATGGAAAAATTAACTTCATTGCTCAAAGGAAATACATGCAGCCCTGAATTGAACTAAGTTACTTTAAAGGGACCAGAGTTTAAGCAAATGACTCCCCAGGGTAAGGGTTCTGATGGAGAGAGCCCCAGGGCAGAGCGGACACACCTACCGTCTTGCTGAGGTAGCTTGTGCTGGTGTTCATGCACTGTTGCCCCTCACTGTTGCAGCAGCCCCCACATCTGTAGACGGACACACATGGAGGTTTAAAGAAGGTGTTTGTGGCTGCTCCAAACTCCTTCCCCACATCTATACACACCTCACGTGGCATGCATTGAGTCTTTCTCCACTCATTATCAATACCTGTCGAGTCACAGGGAAGGGCATAAGTTATACACAAGCCACCAAGGGGAAAAGCCCACAGCAGTTGGAAGTCACTCACACTGAATTTCAGATTTTCAGATTTAAGTATAATACGTAACTTTAAAGAAATAGTTGACAGAATCCTAACTTGCCCTGTCAATAATATTTAACAGAGCAGCTAAGGATAATTTCTTAAAAAACTAATTTCATCAGCCATTTAACAAGCTAAATTAGGATTATGCCGCCTTAAAATTACACCAATATTCTACAGAACTATATTTGGTTTCCTTTACTTAAAAAAACGAAAACTTCATATATAGATGCCTGGAAGACCTGCAGAGAGAAGGTCACGCTCATTTGTTATACGGACGTACTATTTTTGTAACCTCAAAGCAAACATAAACAACATGATCTAATTTTTCTTTTTAAACTGAGATATAACTGAGAAGATAGCTATGGTTTTGGACTCAAAAAATCACTTTCAGGCAGGCTATTTAGCAACTTTGGGTAATGTCACGGTGGTAGGTATTTGAAACGCAAGGATATTTTCCATCAAATGGGACATGTATCCTGAACTAAGTTTTTTTCCCAGAAAGTCTAATTTTCCTGTTCATGTTCTCTCTTGGAATTGTTTCCAATGAGTTAGTGGTTTACCCACAGCACTGTTGACTCTTTAAACACTGCATTCCAAATGATGTACTTCTTAAATGTTCTAGTTAATTTTCCTATATTTCTCCTAAAATAAGATTTTTGGGGAAAAAAAAAAGACACAATTATCGGTTTTTCCACCATGAAGCCATTTTGTTTGTTTGCTTTTGTTTTCAAAGTAATTTGCAATCTCAAACCTTCATAGTGATTAATATCTAACCACTGAAGGGAGTTATTTTCTAAAAGTAGGTCCACGAATTCCTACTGTGCCATTTTATGCAACATCATAATTTTTTGTGATGTTCTCTGCTAGGTCTCTCAGTAGTTTGACAAAAGTCCAGCTCTCAAGCCAGTTACCTATAAAGCAACAAGGCAACAAGGAGCATTTGAAAAGATGATTTTGGGTGATTCAGAAATTAAGCATTTCTAAATCCAAATCAGAAAGAAAATTTATTTGCAATTAATTTGGAAGACACAAAATGTTTAGATGATTTAACTGACAGTGTATGTAAAGGTATCTATGGTTTTAAAAATTTTACAATGCGATATCACCTCAATTAAGAAAAATTAAACTGTGTGGAGATGCACGCATCTTTCTATCTGTATATTTCACGAAATCACTTAACCACTCAGAGTCAAATCATCAAATGCTGTAGTTGGAAAAGAATTCTTTATTTCCTATTTTCTATTTTTCTATTTACTTTCTGCCCTAAAGGTATTCAGTGGTACAAATGCTGAAATTAAAGGACCGGGCTGGCAACTTTGACTGGGTTGATAACAAAGCTTATTATATATATTTTTTCCCATACTTACTTTTCAAGATCTCTGCGTTATAATGTGCTGCAGCAAATTTTATAGTCTCTTCTGTCCTTGTATTGACGTTGGACTGCTCTCTATTATGTTGCCAGCCTCCTTTCCTTAACTGACACTTGTACATTTTCCAGTATTCTGGGTAGAGCACGGTCATGAGTTCATCTACACTGGACACCGCCCGTAACTGCTCCTCCAGATCTTTGCCTGCATAAGTCTGTCAAAGAAATATGCAAGATCAATTACTTACTAGGTTAAGTGGCTTGGAAACAGATGCATTAAAAAACAAAGGTTAATGCTAAATCCCTATTAAAAATATTATTAGTTATCCCTGAATTACTTAACTTTTCTTGGTAAAATTATATCAAGATTTTAATTTGACTCGATATCACAAGTAAAGTGAAATTCAATACCACAATGAAAACGTAAAATACGTATTTGGTTTTTAAGACAAAATTTTCGTGAGATATAATTTTAAAAATAATTTCTGAAGTAGCTTGTGTAAGTTATAGCTGTTTTGTATAACTGGAGAATTTATAAGATTGAAAATTTATTTAAGCTCATATTACCCTCCATTATAAACGAATTAAATTGAAATCCACTCTAACATTTTGCTTCATGTTTAGTTATCAGTATCAATAAAATATAACTAAGCAGGAGGCTTGAAATTAGGAATCTTACTTTTGGATTAGTAGTAATAGTAATGGAAGTAATTACTTCCATTGGTGGAAGTAACAGGAATAGCAATAGTGATGAAAGCTATTTTAGAACAAATAATCACGTGAAGAATGGGATTTCAACAACAGCATCACATAGAAGGTTTCTATTTTGGTAGGACCTCCCAGTATTCCCACAAAATTTGATCATCAAGACTTATTCTGCTATGAAAAAGACATGAAATAGTTCAGAGAACATTAATTCTGCTTATAAATAGTTAACTGTCTATATTAGTGTATCCAATTAAGCAGAACATTTCAAGTTATATTCAAGTAGTTACCACCCCTAAGAAAACATATAATGTTTTTTTCTAAATTATACTTTGAAATTAGGGGATAACGGGACATTATTTATCTGCAAAGTGAAATATATCAAATGTTTATTTTATATTACCATGATTATCCCAGCTTTAAAGTCTAAATATATAAGTAAATACTTTGGACTTCGTTTCCCAAAGTTTAGCGCCCATAGGATCAATGGGAGAGCTGTTAAAAATGCAAGGAACTGCCCCCTTCCCCCGCCAGGCGTCTTAGATGGAGATCAAGAGTCCACATTCTAAGAAGTTATAGTTTTCCTTTTCTAACTTTTAAAGTACAAAATTAATATATTTGCTTTAAAAATCAAAATACTCTTTAATTGAAAGTCTTTTCACCACTGTTTTTAATAATCCAAGTTATTCTGATGTGGGTGATTTTTGTACTACAATATGAGAAATATAATCTAACATAGTTTTCTTATATTATCATAGAGCCTCCTAGTCAGTATTTTATTATGAAATGTGTTCTTTCCTATTAGATAATAATAATGGCTATATATTTTGGGGTTTCCTCTTTCTTCATTTAGTGTGTGAATTGAGCATATCACTTAATCTCTTTGGGTCTATGTTATAAAAATATTGATTTTAATCCATTCCTTTCTGGAATCTATAGGATGATTCTTGATATGCCATAAGATTATACAAAATAGAATTCCAGTGAAGAGATGGAGGGTGGCGGTGGAGAGGAGATCTTAGCTTAAAGGAAAATGACACAATATCTTCACACAGTTTCCCACAATTCAAATGTTGATGAAATATTTGTCTCAGGAAAATCTCACATATGACACAAAATTCAAGAATCAGAAGTGTTTCAGAGTTTAAAAGGATGCCTACTGAAGAGAAAGATGATAAGAGTACAGGGGTCAATTTTTGGTCACTGCTACCTGAAGGGAAACAACATGGATGGGTTTCTGCTTGCCTCTGCTTCCTTGAACAGCCCTGGAACAAAGGAGGAACACGGGCTGTGTGACTGCTGGGTCCCTGGGATTCTTTTCCCTATAACTCAACCGGAATTAAAGTCAGGTTGTGACCTAAGCTGATCACATGAATCTCTCATTTCCAGAACACGCATGAGCATTCACTCTACCAAGAGGAGCTGCAATACCACACACTGATGTCATACGACATAATGAAAGACACACACCACACTGTTAAGAAAAGGATAGTGGTGAAGAGGGGCTGTCAATTAACTAGTATATGAAGTTTTAAGGCAAATCACTTTTGTACTTTAAAATTTAGAAATGGAAAAAAATTCCAACAAAATTATATCTATAAACATTGTTACCCAATAGATCAATAGGAGAAAAATACAAGCATATAATTCCTAACAGAGAAAATGCGACAGAAAAAAATGAAAAAAAAACATACTAGTAGAAAATAAAAGTTATTATGGTTATACTCTTAGGCTAAAAAAAGGCTTCCTAAAGGTGAATATAAAAATAAAATGTAAACTCTCTGTATGGTAGAAAACACTGTAAACAAAATAAAAAAGAAACAATAAATTAGGAAACCATTTGCAATAAATATGACGGATGGAAAAGAACTCACATTCTTAAAATATTGCATGAACATCTTAGTGAGAAAAAAATAGACAGCTACTTCAATAGAAAAATGGGCAAAGAGCTTGAACTGAATATTCACAAAGAAGAAACAATATATATTCGATGATGGCAAAAGTGAAAGAAATCATAATTCCTTTGATCCTGGTGGGAGTACAAATTTCTACGGCTATTCAAGGAAAATGTGCTATTTCAAGTTGGCCTTAAAAACATGCTCTATTTTAGACAGCAAATTAGCTTTGGAATTCAATTTCCTATCCAACAGAAGTGGTAATATAATTATGCCACATATATCTACAAATTCATCATGAGGCTGTCTATAATGATGAATATAATAAAAATCTATACAGACAATAATAGAAAATTGCTTAAGTAATATACACTACAAACAAAAATTAGCACAGAAAGTAATGACACTAAAAAATGATGATACAGATGTATAATTTAGACATGAAAAGAGGTTCATAATACATTCCATGAAAAAGCAGAGCACACAATTTATACACATATACACAATGTTCATATACACAGTACAATCTTTTCACAAAACAAAATTCCTATATAGATAGATTGCATACATGTGTGGATATTGTCTTAAAAGATAGCAACAGGAAAAAAATAGTTATCTTCTTCAAATTGCAGGATTAAGGGAATTATTATGTTCTTTATGCATTTCCATATTTTAAATTTTAAATAATAAACATATATAACTTTGTTGTGTGTTTGTGTGAGGAAGATTGGCCTTGAGCTAACATCTGTTGCCAATATTCCTCTTTTTGCTTGAGGAAGACTGTTGCTGAGCTAAAATCTGGGCCAATCTTCCTCTATTTTATGTGGGATGCTGCCACAGCATGGCCTGACAAGTCATGCTAGGTCCATGCCCAGGATCTGAAGCTGTGAACCCCTGGCCACTGAAGCGGAGTGCGTGAACTTAACCACTACACAACCAGGCTGGCCTCCACATATAACTTTTTATTATCAGAATAAAATTTTAAAAGTAATCATCTCTAAGCATATTGGGAGTTTATAGCCTTAGCTCTCATTTCAGCCTTTCACTTACTATTCTTATTTCTGTATAGAGCATGGCTTTGATATATTATTTAATCTATAACAACCATTGGCAAAAGCAGAAGCTATCACAGACAAAATGGTATAAAAGTAGCTTGATACTGAGTAATTAATTTACCTATTCACACTAGACTTTATTATATTTGTGTGGTGGAAAAACAAGCTTTAGTATTAAAAAATCCAGATTTCCATTCTGGATTCAGACTTTATTTAACTGAGTAACATTACATTTCATTTCTTTGAACCTCATTTTACTCTGTAAAATGGACATGAATCTTCCTTACAGAGTTTTTGTGATGGTGCAGACATTTGATATAGAAGTATATTATAAATCTTGCAGCCAGTAATGTTGGGATTACTGGTCATTATAACATCTTTAGGGAACCAAAAAAAGACGGTACAGAGATGTTTTTCAGATAAACTGAATTTTTTACACAATTTTGAATGGTAACTCTGAGTACTGTACCACTTCTGGGACAGTATTTGCTTAGATCTGTCTTCTGCACTTTTGTTCCAAATGAGCAGCAACCTAGGAATTGAGCATTGTCAGCTAAGCGATAGGCACTTCTGCGGACGTGGAGAAGATCAAAACCTTGTGGAAAGATACCACCAGCTAACCACAGCACATTCCTATTCTACTTCGAAAGAATTTGAAGAGGTCCCAGTAACCTAGACTGAGTTCTGAACCAGGGACACACCAAAATCTTTCAAGTGGAAGTCTGTTCTTTCTCAATGCTTTCTTGAGTCTTCACGTTCACTAATGTTTTCCAGAATGTTGAGGTCATTTGCTTGAATGTTAATAGATTTGTTTTATTTTTCCAAAGCGATTTGGTATGTCTTAAAATAGAAAGTATCTTACAAATGGATATTCAACTGCAATAAAAAAAGCCTCAAGTAATCTAAAAATGAATCTAATTTTGCATTCTACCTTGGAGGGACCAAATGGGAAGTTCCAGTAATTAACCATATGTAACTTTAGCATACTTTTTAGCATGTATGCATTTGCAAACAGCAACCTATGAGACACATTCAGTGGAAGATTTTGAGATGTTACAGAAGTGAAAGCTGAGTGTACAATGTTGAAGGCAGGGGGCCACAATCAGGAATAAACCCCTTCCTTGATAATTCGTATTCCTAAAACGCATTCCCTTCTCACTCTAACAGGAGAAAGATGAAGCAAGATCTATGATTCTAGGAGAAGTTACATGATGAGAATGAACTTTGGTATTTTACTTGAGCTCTATAATTCTCCTTAGTTATGAAAAGTCATAACATGAAGTGAACATTGGAGGTGGCATTGACAGCAACCCCTAATCAACTTATCATCTTACACACATAGCTTGCAAAAACTAGTTTTCCTCTTGCTGCTCTGCATTAACTAGAGGTTGTTCAGATGCCTATTAGGGACAAAGCACAAGCACACATAAGTTGTCCTTCCTCCCAAGAACTGTGACAATGCAGAGTCAACGATAGGTGGGAAGCATAGCAGTCATCTCAAATTAATGTTAGTCATGATCCTGGGTTTGCCAATGAGCGGAAATTAGCTTTTCAAAAACC